AGATACAGTAATATGCTAAAGCAATGCCTACTGACTCATGGAAGCTAAGTATTAAATTTCCAAAAATCCCGTAAGCAGTAGTTTGAAATCAGCCTTGATAGGAATATTTTATACCACAGAAGTTGGTGAACTCTACAAATCAGCCCTCAACCCACTGTCCAGAAAGTTGGTGGTTCAACATTTACTAACATATGACTGAGCAAATACATCTCCATTTGTATATTTATATATATAATATAATTTACTGCATTATGAACAAATTTAATTTTAATTTTAAGAAGATGATGAATTGGTGGAAAGAGAAGTTAGGAAAAAAATCCCATTCAAAATAACCTCAAAAAAAAATACTTGGGAATCAATCTAACAAAAGAGGCGAAGGACCTCTACAATGAAAACTTCAGAAAACTAAAGAAAGAAATTGTGGATAATCTCAGAAGATAGAAAGATCTCTCATGTTTTTAGATAAGCAGAATTAATATTGTCAAAATGGCCACACTACCAAAAGTGCTATACAGATTCAATGCAATTCCCATCAAAACTCCAATGATGTTCTTCATAGAAATCAGAAAAGCAATAATGAAATTCATTTGGAAAGATAAAAAGCCCGGAATAGCCAAAGTACTCCTTATTGAGAATGAAATAGAAAACACAAGAGACAAACCCACAAGAAACCAGTTATCTCATATTAGACAAAGGCACTATACATGTACACTAAAGTAAAGATAGCCTCTTCAACAAGTGGTGCTTGGAAAACTGGAAACCGGTATGTAGAAGAATGAAATTTAACTCCTCTCTCTCATCCTGCACAAAAGTCAACTCAAGGTGAATCAAAAACCAAGAAATTAGACCAGCAACTCTGCATATACTAGAAAAAATTGTAGGCTCAACACTCCAACATTCTGGCTCAGGAATTGACTTCCTTAACAAGACTCCTGAAGCACAAGAAGTAAAATGAGATGACATCAAACTAAAAAACTTCTTAACTGGAAAGGAAACAATCCACAGCATAAAGAGAGAACTTACAGAATGGGAGAAAATCTTTGCCACATACATCTCAGATACATCCAGGATATATAAAGAACTCAAAATGCTTCACACACACACACACACACACACAAAAAAAAAAAAAAAAAAAAAAAACACCCACAAATAACCTAATCAATAAATGGGCAAAGGAACTAAACAGACATGTCTCAAAAGAATATAAATGGTCAACAAATATATAAAAAATGTTCAACATCTCTAGAAATTAGAGAAATACAAAGTTAAAACTACACTGAGATCTCATCTCACTCTAGTTAGAAAGGCAATGATCAAGACTACAAATACATTGCTTGTGGGACTACAAATTGGTGCAACCACTCTGGAAAACAGTATGGAGATTCCTCAGAAAATAAGGAATGCGACCACCATTTGACCAGTTACCCAACTCCTTGGTATACATCCAAAGGGTTTAAAATAATCATACTACAGTACCTCAGCCACGTCAATGTTTATGGCAGCTCAATTCACAATGGATAAGCTATGGAGCCAACCTAGGCGCCCTTCAACAGATGAATGGATAAAGAAAATGTGATACATATACACAAAGGAGTATTATTCAGCCATTAAGAAAAATGTCTTTATGACATTTGCCAGTAAACAGATGGATCTGGAGACTACCAAGCTAAATTACATAAGACCAAAAAGCCAAAAGCCAAATGTTTTGCTGATATGTAGAAGCTGACCCACAATAAACAGAGAGAGGGAAAGAACAGATATTCAGTAGAATAGACAAAGGGGAATGAAGGAAAGGGGACAGGAACAGGAAAGGAAGTGGAATTAATCTGACATAATTTTCCTATGTACATATATGAATACTACAGGGAATCCACCATTGTATACATACACAAGAATAGGGTCCTAATTAGAATAACATATTTCATGCTTGTATAACTATAACAAAATGAATTTTGTTGTCACATATAACTAAAAAGAGTCAATAAAAATTTAAAAGAAGAAGAATATATAAACGTTAACATTAAGCACAAAAATTTAAACTGGATTTTAATTTGTCAAGACAAAAAACTATTTGCTTGGACAATGCCACACCATACTATTTACCTTGATATATTGTCTTATTAACCAATAATAAGGAGAATGGGTGGAACATTGTAGAACACTGGAACAGACTAGTTCAAATCCAGACTCTGCTTCAAATTCTGTTTGACTTAGACAAGTTATTTATATCTCTATTCCTTAGTTTCCTTCGTTGTAAGGCATCCTATATTAATTCCACCTCCTTAAATGTGCATACTACCTTTCACTTTTCAAAATATTTTTACACACTGTGCCTTAACTTTTAAAAAATCTTTGTTATTGGCAAAATTACAGGAAAATTTTCATATACATACACGTATATCCACAACTCTAAAACAAAATTTATTTGGTCATACAAATCAAAACATAGTCACTAAATCACATATATGTTCTATTACTTTAACTAGTTTATACACATTGGATCTGAAGTAATTCTAAGTCAAGGCAGCTCTAGTGAAGAAAATCAATTGGACTTAAGAGGACAGATTCTATCTCTTCTGTTCACACAAGAAACAATCGGAATTTTGCTTAGGTGTTTGGAGCCACCTAGAGGGAAGATTTCTCAGTACCAGAAAATGTGTAACTTTTCCTCCCTAACATTTTGAGACAAACACTGCAACACCAATACGGAACCTATACCTGGATTAGAAATAAAAGAAAAAGTCTGAATGAGTTTTTTACAGCTGATCTCCATTTAACAAATATACTAACTAAGTCATATGCTGGATGCTAGGATTATAGAAACATAAGAAAGATCTATGGCCTTAGTCCAGGGGTAGGCAAATTATAATTCACAAGGCAATTTTGGACCTCTGTCTCCTTTTGTAAATAAAGCTTTATTGAAAGTTCATCACAATCATCCATTTACAACTGTTTATTGCTATTTTCCCACTAAAACAGAAAGTCAATAATTATGACAAGGGATAGGCCCACAAAACCTATCGTATCTGACCCTGTGCAGTAAAATTGCTCTGGCATAGAGGGAGTTCACAGCCCATACAGATCTGACAGTCAGTGGTGTGAATATTTTTGAGTCAGCAGAATGTCAGGGCAAGCCTCCTAAATTAAGAAATAATTAACTGGGCCTTAATTAAAAATTAGAAAGCAGCCTGACACGGAACTAAGAGCATATACCAAGTAGAGGTAATCACATAACAAAAAGTCTAGTGGCAATAGGACACAGGGTCTGTCTCAAGAACTGCAAGGGTTTGGTGTTGCTTGAATAGTATACAAGTGATAGAAGACAATGCTGAAAAGAAAGCCTTATGAACTGTAAATACCAAAAGAAAAACTTTGTATTTTTAAGAATATATATATATATATATATATATATACTTACACACACACACATATAGTGATATACATATATATCACTTCAGGTGTATACTTGCAAAATCAATAAACAAAAAAGCCCATTACCTCTGAAAGAACAAACAAAAAACTTTTAAGAAATTGCTGGAAAATGAATACTGAAGACAAGACAGATAAAAAAGATAGGGTCAGGAAGATGTCACTAAATACTATTTTTAATTTTCTGTTTTTGAAATTACACGAGCACCTTGTCTCTTCTAAAATTAAAAAGTTTGGATTTGGTAAAAATTTAAGAAAGAAGCACTAAGAGGAGACAAGCAAATTAGAATACCTTGTAGGTACAATGCGTAAGAGGACTAGAAGATGCAGATAGTAGTTAGAAACCAATGGACAGACTACTAGCTGTTTTAAGTAAATATATTAACAATGTATTATGGTGCTTACAACATATGAAGATGTAAAACATATGACAAAAGTAGCTCAAAGGATGAGAGGGAGAGAAAGTAAAAGGAGTTAAATTACTGTAGGATTTTACACTTTAAGTGGAATCATATTAGAGGCAGACTATGACAAGCTGAGAACAAATACTATAATCTCTACACTGACCATTATAAATAAAATATAGATACAAAGTCAAAAGAGAAAATCAAATGGAATTTTAAGAAAGTAAAATGAAGAATATCAATTTAGCCTCCCAAAAAGTAAGAACATAGATACCAAGGAACAAAGAATAAACTGAAAAGAAATAGCAAGATGGCAACATAAAACCCAAGACTATCAGTAATTAAATTAAATATAAATACATTAATCCCTCTAATAGAAAGACAAAGATTATCATATTGCATTTAAAAGAAAACCAAAGGTTTTTTGTAAGGAATACACTTTAAAAATAATAACACAGTTGGTCACGATGGTCAGTAGTTGTGGTACATACCTACAATACCAGCTACTTAGGAGTCTAAAGCAGGAGGATCACAAGTTTGAGCTAGTCTGTGCAAATTAGCAAGACCCAATCTTAAAATAAAATTAGAAAAAAATTAGGGATGTAGGTCAGTGTTAGAGCACTTATCTGATATGTATAAGGCTACAAGTGTGACAACCCCCCCCCAAAAAAACACTGATAAATTAAAAGAAAAAGATAATAAGTTTTAAAAAGCCAACAATGATTATGCTAATACCAGACAAAGATGATTTTAAGACAAATTTATTACCGGATACTAGAGATAAAGAGAGATATTTTATAATATTAAAAGAATCAATTTACAGTGGATCAAACAATCCTAAATGTTTTACCCAATTATATAGTTAAAAATAACTAATGTAACAACTAAAACTAAAAACATATTACATGGGAAAAAGCAACCAAATTAGCTACATCCAGATTTATAAATTCAATTAAATAGATCACATAACGATGGTAGCAGACTGGAATAAATAATTGAGGATAACAGGAACAAAGGACAAAATTTAAATTAAATTAAGCAAAAATTGAGCCTTATATATACTAAAGATATATGTACCTTAATTGCATGGATATCAGATTCAAAGGAAAAATTAAAGATCAAATAGAACTGGATAAATTCTATTATTATATAGTATATTTTTCTTACCAGCATCACTGTTAAATTCATTATTCTTCCAAGGTTATCAATATAGTAGACACTGTCTTGATACCATGAATCACAGTGTAGGTAATTATACATCCCAAAAGCATGCATGTGTTCCAGTGTATATTGATCATCACGAAGTTTTACTTCTGCCACAGCTGAAATATAATAAATAAACAAACATAATCATCAAGAGTTTTATTCAGATTGTTCCTTTTTACAGAATACCTAAAAGGCAAAGAAACCATGCATGACAATCACAAAGGCTGCTTCAGGGCAATTCACTATATGATCACTCAGAAATAATTTCTGGATATCTAATATGCACTGTGTGCAGATGACTAGTAGGAGGATATGGTTATACCCTTTAGAACCTAGAACATAGTGACTGTAGTAGATAGATTTTTTTAAATCATAACTTTCTTTGAGGCACTTTTTATAATTAAGAACAAATTCTAAGAATGAAGGTTTTCCTGCCTTTAGGGCAAATAATAAGCCCAATTTTATAAAGTATTTTTATAATTTTAAATGTTTCCATTTTATTATATTTTCATTTTAAACACACATTAAAAAATAAAGAGAATGTTTTTATTTTATCACTACACAGATATGGAAATAAATATAAACACCAACTGCAACTTCTCTAATATCATGTCAAATCCTTCTAATAGTACAGAACAAAACAGTGTCACAGCTGGAATAGACACAAGGCTTCCTACTTACAGAAAAGGGCATTCTTCTCTAAATCATTAGCTGCCTCCCTCATTTTAAATCTGACAAACATGTTCTCTTCCTCTCAAGCTCCCACTTGCCTCTCCATGCTTACAGCTCAATACTGCCCAGGACCTGTAATTAATTTCTGCAATAGAAAATATGTAAGTGGACTATGATGGGCCAATATATTATCTTGATATAAAGTATATGCTTTACTATATTCTAATCACAACTATTTTCTTCTCGCAGAATACTTACTTACCTTTCCTGCTTCTAATACCTGATTTGAATCCTGGCTAACTTACACTTATTCAATCATTTATCTAGAAAGTATTTTAATAGATACAGTGAGGAGCAAAGAGTACATAGTATCTTCTTAGCACTTACAATTAAGTGAAGAAATGGACAGTACTCAGTTACATAAATCTTACATAATTTTTACATCATAATTTTATATATTAAACTGTGATGTTATAAAGAAAAATTACCAGTTACTAAAGAACACAAAAAGTAGTGAGTTTTACTTGGGAGACTAATGAAAGTTTTTCAAGGATTAAGCCAAGACATAAAAGGAAAGTAAGAATTAAGAAGAAACATACTCATACATCCACATATAACTCTGTACTCTAAGCAAGAAAAGTAGGAGTAAAACCCTATGTTCAAAGAACCAAACGAAGGACATACTGCTATATACAGAACAAAAAGAACCCTTACAAAGAATGGCTAGAGATGAATGAAGTTAGAGAACTAGGCAGGAGGAGTTAGACTGTGAAAGTCCTTGTCTTTATTTCTTTATTGATAATAAAGTGTAATAAGAATTCATTAGGTTGTTTAGCAGGAGAGTAAAGTTCAGATGTGAGTTTTTAAGAGAGTGCTTATAATGCTTATTATACACACTCGAACTTTTATCTTTTTATATCTTCATACACAAATAGCAAACTAAGCAAATAGAAAAAGACAGTTAATTTGTTGGGTTGATTTTAGAAGGTGAGTGGTTCAAGAAGTGACCTTTATAGGTGGAAATAATGTGGAAAACAGACTGGAGCAAAACAGGGATAAATTCAGGAAGACCCATTAGGAACACGACAAATGTGAAATTATAATTTTGAAAGACTTGACAGAAGTTGAGGAAACTAGCTGTTTCACTTGAGGAAGTGTGAACTTGCAAGGAATGGTTAACAAATATACATTCTATGGATTAGGAAGGAAATAATTATCCATTTTTTTAGGACCACTATGTGGATGAAACACTGGAAATGTCCATGAAAATGTAACAGCCCAAAAAAGTAACATTAAACAACAATATAACAAATACATTTTCTCCCTATGGGAGCAAAGAGCCCTCAATAATCATGAACAGGTCAGAAGTTTCTTAGCCTTTTGCCTTACTATATCTCAGTTGCAAACACATTTATCTCTAGAAAACCAGTTAAAAGACCTTGATATAACAGGAGTTGGTTGTTGCATTTCAATAAGATAATCTATGTAAGTTATTGTGACACAGAAGCAAGCAGCACAGGGCATGCTTACTAGTTTATAAAACTCTCTTAGTATGCAGAAAAAGACTGCTTCTCTAGCCCTAAATGAGAAATAAAAAGTTGTAACTACATTTATCACATCAATCTTCTTGAGTATAAAGATGGGAGGCAGAACAAGCGAAAGGAGAAAAGCAGTGTCCAGAATGTGACAAAGCTTAACCACCAGCAAGCTCTTTTGTAGAGCCTTCCCAAGAAAGAAAGAAAGAGGCAGGGAACCTCTATTTTGTTGGGATCTTTGAAATGGTTGAAGAGAAACCCTTTTTATAAAGAATTCAGTGCAGTAGTTTTTTGGTACCTGAGATTGAACCCAGGGGTATTTACCCACTGAGCCACATCCCTAGCTGTTTTCAAGTAAAACAGATTCAACTCTTTTGCTAATGGTGCTAAGGATGGTGTCCACTACTGTTTCTTGAACTCTCAAAGTATATTATTATGTTAAACTACATAAAATTTCCAATTTTTGACATCAATTAAATATGATGTAACCTAATATTTATCTAAACACATTAGTTTTTAAAAAGTAGTGTTGGAGAAGCAAAGAATAATAACCTATAAAGGTCACTTCTTGAACCACTCACCTTCTAAAATCAACTCAACGAATTAACTGTCTTCTTCTATTTGCTTATTTTGCTATTTGTGTATGAAAATATAAAAAGATAAAAGTTATGAGTGTGTATAATGAGTTCTAAAGCAAGGCTTACAACAATATAACAAAAACAGGGCAGGACGTAAGTCAGGAGTACTGCTCCCATGAAACTATTTTATAAAATGCTTCTGGGATCATAACACATTTATCTGGCTATCTTCCCCATAATTTCCTACAGAGTGTAGACAGGAGTTTTATAGTAAACTCTACTAGAGAAATTATGTTTTCACTTAAAAATATATATTGAACAATTTTGTTTGTAGTCAAAATGGAATAGGAAGCAATTCTGTTTTTCCATCAGAAATAACTAATAAGAAAAAATAAAATAAATCAGACATGATTACATGAAACAACAGTTTCCAAGATACTAGGCATCTGGTAACATAGAAAAATGATCACTAAGAAACCCAAAACACATGAGGTGAACCCTATCACTGCCCCAGTCTACAAAGTTTTGTGAAGTTTCCAGACCAAGGAATAAAAAATGGGAAAGTGAGGCAGACTGATTTGAAAGTCTGGAGAAACCATGGAAGTTACAGTTGATTAGTCAGAGTAGCAAACAGAGAGGCAAACCCCAGAGATCTGCAGAGGTCTCCCTGAAGAACTCAGCATGTGTTTGGAGGAGCCAACCCCAAACCAAGGAAAGAACCATCTGAAAGACTATGGGGAAAGGTACTGGACATTCACACACACAAGACTGCAGAGTGACTAGGCCAAACAGGAAGAATGAAAACACTCCTAATTTGTGGGCTACTGGGCAGAGTACACAGCAAGCCTTGCTTCCATAGTGGGGAATAGTTAGCCCTAGACTAAACCAGACTATCAAATCTTAAAAGCAAGATTCAATGGAATTAACCTGCTTCCAAGCAGCTAAAATAAAACCCAGAAAAAAAGATTATGAGAATACAAAAATACCCTGTATCCAATAAGGTAAATTCACAATTTCTGATACCCAATCAAAGCAGAAAAGGAAAGGAAAACAAGCCCATAATGAGGAGAATCACCAATCAATAGAAGCTAATACATAACTGACATAAAGGGTATAATTAGCAGAGTAGCACATTAAAACAGTTATTACAAGTATATTTCATATGTTTAAAATCATAAGCAGGGGCATAAAAGATATAAAAAAATTTTAAATCAGACTTAAAAAAGAGAGTTAAAAAAGAGAAAAAATAATGCAGAATAAAAGGGGGGTAATGATGAACTTCCAGAATAGGTAAATGAAGTTCTCAAAGGAGAGAACAAGAGAAAAATTTGGAAGAAAATTATAAACTCAGAGTTTATAGGTCAGCAAACCCCAAGAATAAGAATCATGAAGAAAACCACACCTAGGCACATATAATTATTGAACTGCTCAAAACCAATGTAAAATAGAAAAATCTTAAAAGCAGCCAGAGAAAAAAATGTATGCTATGTACAGAGCAACAAAGACAGGATAATGTCAGATTTCTCATCAGTTACAAAACAAGCAAGAAGACTACAGGGAAAAATCTTTACAAAATTAAAGAAGAAAAATTGTCAACTTAGAATTCTATATGTGGCAAAAATATCTTTGGAAGAATCAAAGCAAAATATAGATCCTTCCATACTAAAACATGGAAAGAATTAATTACCAGATTGTAAGAAACAATTAAATTCATTCATGCAGAAGGAAAATTGCAATAGACAAAAATATGGATAAATGAAAGAACACCAGAAGTAACAACTGTAAGTAAATACAAGATTTTTTTCTTATTTAAATTTCTTTAAGAGATAATTATTTAAATAAAAATAATATATTGTGAAATATACAATAACATATAAGACTAAAATTCATGACAATAGCTCGAAGGCCAGGAAGAAATGGTATAAAAGTATAAAGTTCTTACAATACATGGTAAATAATATACTATCATCGAAATGTAACCAATATACATCCTAAAGTGATTATTAAAATAATAAAAAAGTACAGCTGATAGCCCCAACAAAGGAAATTAAAATACAAGTATATATGTATGTGTGTATACATATGCATATATACACATACACTCACACATACATACTATGGCATAATTAATCAAAAGAAAGCTGGGGTGACTAATATCAGACAGACCTCAGAGCAAAAAACTAAAAAAATCTTGCTAGGGATAAAGGTTATTTCATAATGATAAAGGGGTCAATTTATCAAGAGAATATATTAATGTTTATGAAGCTGGCAACAAAGTTTCAATATATATCATGCAAAAAATGGTAACAATTAGCCAGGTGGGGTGGCATACGCCTGTAATCAACAGCTCTGGAAGCCGAGGCAGGAGGATCACAAGTTTAAGGCCAGCCTCAGTAACTAAGCAAGGTCTTAAGCAACTTAGTGTCTCAAAAAAATAAATACAAATAAACAGGGCTAGTATGTTGCTCAATGGTTAAGCAAGTACCCCTAGGTTCAATGCCTGATACCCCTCTAAAAAATATAACAAAAAATTTATAAAACTCCAAGGACACATAGAGAAACCCACAATCATAGGCATAAATTCTAATACCCTTCTCTTGCAACAAGGGTGATTTCAAAATAATCGTGCTGAGTAAAAGAAGCCAGACAGGAGTGGTACGGGGAGTGGGGACATAGTACACCGTATATAATTCCAGTTATATAAAATTCTAGAAAAATCATATTAATTTATATTGTCACAAAACATATCAATAGTTGCTTGGGGATGGGAGGAATATGGGAAGAGCAGAGGGATAGGTGTATAGTTAGAGAAGGTACAAAGAAACTTTGAGGATGATAGCTAAGTTTATCATCTTGATTATGGGTGTATCCATGCCAAAAGTTGCTAAATTGTACATTTTAAATATATGCAGTTTATTGTTAACTATATCTCAATAAACCTGTTTAATGTGCAAGTGATACAAAATCATCCACTATTCAACCAAGCAACCTCCAGCTCTACAGATAAAGCACTGAAAAAGATAGACACAATACAGAACCAAGACTCTTGGCACAAAAGCAGACACTGAATGCTGCAAAGTGTCTATGAAGCACGGGGTACTACTGGAAAGTACAGAACAGAAGAGATTCTAACTTGTACAGATTTTACAGTATGGACTCTAAATATGTAGTCCAGAAAGGAATCCCTGAAGAAGAAGTAAAAGAATAAAGTACAAATTAATTAGGTGAACTATAAGGGGAAACATAAAAAGATCTACTAAATAAGATTCTAGGGAAAGGATGTCTATAGGGTAAATACTCAGACATGGAACTGCTGGATCAAAGACAATGACAATTTTAGGAAACAAATTTTTTGCTTAGGTTTTTTTTCTTTCCATGTTTTTTTTTCTTTTTAAATTGGTGCTTTATAGTTATATATAATGGTGAGATTTATTGTTACATATTTATACATGTACACAATCTAACAATATAATTTGGCCAATGTGACTCCCCAGCACTTCCCCCTTCCTTCCCACTTCTCAACATCTTTTACTTAGTTTTTTGGAATGGAAAAAGACAAAGTAACACTGTTTATGTTGCAGGGGTAGTTCTAGAACAATTTAATAATATTAAGACAAGAAAATAAGCCTGTTAGCCAAGCTCTTTGAGACCAGATACCACATCTACATCCTCATATCTTAAACGGAATTTCACACACCCAAGAGTGCAACGAAAGGTTTGCTAAATTAAACTCCTTGGGTTAGGATAAAAAAATCAAATTATCAGGAGCTCCTCAATTATACCTTAACTATCTCTAGAAATGATACTTTGTAAAGAATCAACCTCTCCTTTTTTTGTTCTGTTTTTGTTGTTGTGTTTCTTTTGTTCTCAAGTAATTCATAAAAGCCTTCAGACAGTTGTCTCCATTCCTCTGGTCTTCTAAATAACTACAGAGCCATAGGGTAAATGATTTAACCACCAAATTTGCTCATTTCCCTTTATACTTAAAAACCCTCAAACGCACCACATTACCTCTGGTTTTGCCTTCTAAACACAGAATCTAAGACAAAATTGTGAAATATGGGCGAGGGGAGACAGTGTGATTTTAATAAAGTAAATTAATTTATTCATTTATTTAGGCAGTGGGGATTGAACCCAGGGGGTCTTTACCACTAAGCTACATCTCCAGCCCTTTATATTTATTTTCAGACAGGGTCTCACTAAGTTGCCCAGGCTAGCCTGGAACTTGCGATCCTCCTACCTCAATTTCAATTGCTGGGGATTACAGCCATTCACCACCCCAGCCAGCTTAAATGTTTTCACTTTGGAGTATCATTTATTGCGATATTTCAATTCCTGACTTTTTAATGTTACAATATCCCACACTGACTTTAGGTTTAATTATTTTATTTGATTTAACCAGTAAAGCAAAAGTGCATTTCCACTTAGCAAATTAAAATGCTGGCCAAACTATGACAACTGAACTTTATCTTTTATTGCAATTGCACATGAAAAAGTCTGGGAAGCAAAGGATAAAGTCCAAAAGATGAATAGTGCCCTCATCAGTCTAACTCCTCTTTTTGCAAAATTTTTCACCAATATAGGACTGCAACAGCATTCTGCATATGGCCTACTGATCTTCTTTTCCTTTTAGCTCATGTTTTTCCACAAATGGAATGTCCTCAACAACTTCATTCATTCAACTTATTGAGTACCTACTATGTGCCAAGAACTAAAACAAAGTAGTGAATAAAAGAGAAATATCATGGAATTCAAAGTCTAGTGGAGGAAACATCCATCCAATATAGAATCTAGAACTACAGTAATTACTGATTTATGGAGAATGAAATGAAGGATCTCTAAAGTGAAAGCAAGAAGGCTAGTCAGAAAACTACTATATTTTAGGCAAGTGAAAACAACGATTTGGACTAGGAAACATGGAGAAGTAAAAATCAGGAGTTTAGGGCACTTGCTGACAAGTTGAACTGAGGACTTCACAAAGAAATACTCAAACATAAATAACTATACAGACGAAATTAACAGTCACAATTTTTATGCCTCCCTGCATCTACTCCTTCTTTATGACCTTCCCACACTGACGGACTCCAGACTTGATTATTTGATTTGCTTTGACCAGTGGAGCAAAAAACTTGTTGCAAGGAGCAGCCTGAAAAAAGCACTTATGCACTGCTACTCACATCCTCCAAAGAGCCTGAGCTAGCCTGCAGAAGGATGACAGACCACAAGGAGAGTTAAGCAAAGGTCATCTGAAAGAATCTTAAATCAGTCAATGGCAAAGAACACCCAAATAGATGAAAAAAATCCAGTCATGATGAGCACAGTTGCCTAGCAGACCCATAACTGAACAAGAATGCATGAATGAGCCCATCCAGGAGTAGAAGAATCAAGTAGGTAAGCAATCTATGAATTTGTCAGTAACAATCAATTTGTCAGCAACAATAAGTGCTTTTGGGTTTTTTTTTTTTTTAGTTTTTTTTTTTTTCCCTAATGTATCAGCTCACAAAATATGGTAGTACTATTTACTGACTAGGAAACAGAGACTGAAAATGGGGTGGGAGGAAGGCAGAAAAGGAAACGAAAAATCAAGCGTATCTTCTCTCATACTGGTTAACCTATATTCTTTATAGCACAACTTAGATATCAACTTCTCCAGAAAGCTGGCCCAGATCCACAGGCTAGTTATTCAAGAATTACCATTGTATTTTATACACATATCCATCACTGCCTTCCCACATTATTTTATACTTATTTGGCATTTTCTTCCTAACGAAATAATAGTTACGTTATCCACTTATGGACTGTGTCCTATTCATCTTGATAACATTGGCATGTAACAGAACAGGCCCTCTATAGATGTTTCTGAATTTAATAAACGGATAAACAAACACTTCTTTGATACTATAAAGTCTATTAATTAACTCTGGACCCGTATTTCTCTTAGTGTGATCCACTCACTGACAACCTGCACCAGAATCAGAAGTGTGTTAAAAAATGGGCAAACCTCCGGGCTCTATCATCAACGTAAATGTACTTTTTACAATGAAAACGTTCTGGCCAGCTACTAACAGTTAGTAGCAATGTGGTTACTAAAACAAAGCAATCAGCAGTGTGACTGCAAAATCATCTTTCTTCAAAAAATGTCTAGCGATATTTTTTTCTACGACAGTCTTCGGTGTGCCAGGACCTGGGAAACTGAAAATGCTCTGACAGGTATGTAGTTTCTCCTCTAAGAAATGGCTCTGCGTCAAAGGAAAACAGGCGTTGGGGTTTTTCCAAGGAGGTGTGGCTTCTCAGCTAACACGTTGACAGACAACGTCCAGAGAACGTCCCGAGCTTTCCCCACGGCAGGGCCAGCGGGGTGGACTGGCGGTCCGAGCCCAGGCATCACCCGTGTGCCCCACCTCGGGGTCGAGGGCGGGCCCAGGGTCCCGCTTTTGAAGAGCCACACCTAAGCGGTTTTCACAGGGCTGAAGGGCATCGTTATCCAGAGGCAACCACCCTGTGTGCACCCCAGCGCGACGGGCAGTAACGAAGGCCATGTTGTTCTGCTTGCCCTAACACACAGAAAGAAAACGCGGGAAGGCTCAGGCCGATGGCAGCCGAAAGAGGAAAGGAAGGGAGTGTGAGGGGTCGCCACAGCTTCCCACCTGCGTCAAGCTCCAGCTGGTAACAGGGCAGTGGCTCGAGAGAGAGCTTGTAACCCTCGAAGCGGGGGTCCAACAGAGGTCTCTTCACCCGCAGGGAGCAATTAGCCGCCACCTCCATCTCTTTCCAAGATCCAAGCGTGGGAATTAATAAAGCTCTTGTTGAAAGGTCCGCGCTTCACTCGTGGAACTGAGGCTGGGAAGCGGCGTGGTTCCCATCCCAGAAACTACTGCGGCGCCAACTGCCTTTTGGGAAATGTAGTGTGCGCGAGAAATCGGACCCTTGTTGCATGCTGGGTTCTGTAGTTTCTTGGGGACTTAAGGCCCGCTCAACTGCAGGACCTGGACTCTCTTACCCAGCGGGCTAAGCGACCAGGAGGCGGCCCGCGCTAGTTAAATTCTCACTTTATAGGCAGTGTGGCGAGACCCCGCCCCGGAAATGCGTGTTCTAGCTTTCTGTGTGCTTAGGTGCCCGAGCTACTGAGGGTCTAAGTCCGGGCAGCCGAAGAGTGTGGTAGGTAACGGTCGTCAGCGCAAGGGTCATTTCGTCGCTGGGAAGGGACGGCCCTCGCCCGCGGTGATGGTGGTGAGCTATGCCCGTGGTCCTCAGGGCCGGGACCCGGGCCCAGCCCAGGCTCCTTTCGATGTGCTGTCTTTCGTTAGCTTCCCCGACCCGCGCTCGCGGGCCTGTAGGGCTCTCCGACAGGGCGTGCTTCTGGAGTTGGCCTAAAGCCAGTCCTCGCTTTGTTTTCTGGCTCCTCCCCTCCCGCCTCTCCAGCTGTCTCCGCCCTGTTCTATTTTCCCAAAGAATGTCTGAACTGGGAGGTATCCCCTAGTGCCCTTGTTTTACCAGTGAGAAAACTGAGGCCTTTAGGAATTAAGTGACTTGTCCAAGGTCACTATCCGTATTTTAGGGGGCCAAGGCGAGATCAAGTATTCCTGATATGGTAACTGACTAGACCTTGTAGTTATTTTGAAAACGTTAGCTTCCAACTACAAAAGTAAACATTTCTTGATTCTTTCTCAAGTCTTCCTTTTCCCTGTTCCCCTTTAAACAGCAACAACAACAACTGAAAACTCATTTCCAGTGTAAGTTTTCATATAGAAGAATTGAGAGACGGGAAAAGTGGTGTCAAGTTAGTGACAAATTCGCTGAGGAAAGCTTTGGCTTATTCCAAGTTTTATTGAAACTTTTGGATGGCCCCAAAACCTAACCACACTCTCCTTTCTGCACATTTTGGTTTTGATTGTCTGCTTTTGCTGAAAATTGAGAATTTTCTAAGATAAGAATTAGTTTGAGGTTTGTTTTCCACTTAACCCACTGGGAATACTGCATTTGATAAGACACACAATACACATAGACTACAGCTAGTGTAGCAGTTGTAATTCTAAATCCTAGTGAAGACTAAAGTAAAGCACTTAGAATCTTATCTGATGGTTTCATTTTTCACTAATACTTTTTTGTCTTGTACTGATATTTAGATTATGGCTTCCTCAAATTTTGAATGCAGTTAAAGTGCAGAAATGATCCAGTCATTTATAATGTTCAGTTAAAGTGTTTGGGGGCTTCTAGGAACAAAGTACCTGAGTTGAAATTTTGCTTTCACTATTTTCTATTCCTGTGCCTCAGTTTTCTCAGCTGTAAAATAAAAAATATTAATATGTAATGATAAGGTTGGGAAATTAAATGTAATTTTTTAAAAATACACAGAGTATTGGGTAATTAATTGTTTAATAAATGTTCCAAAAATAATAGTTATTAATAAAAGATATACGGGGGAAGGAACTTGTTTAGTGAATAATCAATATGAGTTGGGATGAAGTAAATTATATTTAGAATGATGATATAAGTAATACACTCTAACATCCTTCTAGTTGATAGAATATTAAATCTGTTAGGATGATTGCCCAGAGGATTTAGAAGAAAATGCTTTATAAATATTCTATATCTGAACATATATGTTGATGTCCAGGTTAGCAAGATGAACAAAGATGCGCAGATGAGAGCAGCAATTAACCAAAAGTTAATAGAAACTGGAGAAAGAGAACGGTAAGTAATAGATTGTGTTATTAAATTACATTATACCATCTTTAATAGTTACATAATGTTATAAGAATCTAATTATCAAGAAACAAACAAAATATGCCAGTGAAAAGAATTACAGAAAGTTGAGATTATCAAAAACTTCTATTCCTAACAGCCGTAAGAATTTATTTAGGTGCAACATTGCTTGCAAGACTTGGACCAACACAGGCAATGTAGAAGCCAGAAATTTTTATAAAAATAAATATATAAATTATTATAGATTCTCAAAGAATGTATAATACAGTGGGGAAGAAAAAAAATACTCAGATAGCTACAGTTGAAGACATAATGTTACCCAGGTTTTCATAAGACTACATAATAGAGCCACATTGGAGCAGCATGTGAAATATTTTTCTTTGAAATATTTCTCTTCTGTTCATTCTTAGTAAATTCTAGTTCATCTCTCATGTATTACTTTAAATATTGCTCCTTCAAGGAATCTAATTATGGAATCCCAAATACTTTGTTCTGTCATATCATTTAATCACATCCTGTTCTAGTTACCTACTTTACTAGTGCTTAGCTCTCAATATAATCCAAGTTCCATGATAGCGAAAACACTTTTGTATACCCAGAATCTAATGCTATAACTGACACCTACTTGGTTAAGTAAATATTTGAAGAAGGAACAGGTTTAGAAATATACAGAAGGGGCCAAGGAGTCAATAAAGACTCCTAGAAGCAAGATGATAAAGTTTAAAAGAGAAATATGTATATGGAAGAGGAGGAATTTTTTCAATTCTACCTGGGGATTAAGGGGATGAGTAAGATCTCACAGAAACAATAAAAGATGCTTATGCTGGGTTAGAAGGATTATCAGTTCTCTAAGCCAGTAAAGGAGAGGATATTATCTTCTAATGGCATGTGCAAAGTCACAGAGCTTGGTACAACATGATTAATTCTCTGGGTACTACAAAATTATAGGAGAAAGCTATATGTAAAGTATAAAAGCATGTGGCTGGAAGAGTGGACAAAAGTATGGATTTGGTATAAGTTAGAATTATTTCAGCTAAAAATAACAGAAACTAAACTCAGAATCTGGCTTAACCAATAGAAACATATAAGCCCATCTAATTAAAATATCTATGGTTTAAAGTTACTTCATATATCACTAAATTTAGGCATGCAAAAATTATTGCCAAGGATGTATCTTCTCTCACCTCTGCTTTTCTCTATTGTTGGCTTTATTCTTAAAACAGGTGGCAGAGATTAGCAGTTCAAACTTACATATCACTGCTCAGACTGCCTTGTTGAACACAGGACCTAGCTTGATTACTATCTTACTTAGGTAATAAGCAAGTTATGATCAGCCTTGCCTAGGCCATATTCCATCACCAGACCCTTAGCCAGATTCTTATACTGAGAATGGCAGTGTTTTGTTTTTAATCAAAGAAAGGTCAGGAAAATGGATGCTCTGATTTGCAAAAACATTCATTGCTCACTTTATACTTGAATGATGGGAATTATTGAAAGATTTTAAGAAAGGAAATAATTAGATCACATTTACACTTTACAAATTGTATTCTGTGTGAAGGATAGATTTGAAGATTCAAGACAGAAAACAGATAAATTACTTAGAAGATTGTATTGGGTTAAAAAGAAAAACAGCAAAAATGGAAAGGAGAACTTAAAATTTTTTTAAAAAAAAAGTGGAAACAGCTCTTTATATGAGGAAGGAGGCATCAAGAACAGTGCCATGGGTAACTTGAGAAGATAGTACAGCTAGTAGTAAGTAGAGGAAATTATGTGGGTTTTTTGTTTTTTTCATTTGTGCAGCTTAGTTTCCAAGTTTCAATCACATGGCCTACTCTGTAAGGTGCCGGAGATACAGTAGTCAACAAAATGAATTCTGTTCTTTTATGGAACTTAACCCTGTAAAGGGAGTATACATGCGTAATATGGCAGATAATGATGAGTGCTATGAAAATAGTAAAGCAGAAAATAAACATGGGGAGGTGATATTTTGGGTAGAGAACGTTTCACTGCCAACAGATCAGAAGGATATGAGGAAGTGGAGGAGTTCCAAGAGCCAAGGTCCTGAGATGAGCTTGCCTGCTATTTTTGAGAAATACATGGAAGCTAAGGAGACTGCAGAAGCTGGGTGAGGAAGAAAAGAGATAATGTAGAATCATTTAGGCTGTAGTCAAGTCTTAGAGTTCATTCTGGGTAAATTGTGAAGGCACTGGAAGGTTTTGAGCTGTGCAAGATAGTGAAGTGCACAATGAAAGAAGCAGGGAGACAACTTAGGTAACAGTCCAAAAGGAAAAAATGGTGATTTAAACTAGGATATTGATGAAGATAGTGATAGACATTTGACTTCTAGGTATATATTTTAAAACTAAAACCTGTAGGATATCCTCATGGATTGGATGTGAAGCGTTAATAAGGGATCTGAGTAAAAGGTGCTGCCAAAGTTTTCAGCCCAAAGAACCAAAAGAATGGAGTTATTTTGAGAAGGAAGCAAGATGAAGTAGGAGAAAATATAAAGTTGGGTTTTAGCTCTATTGAGAGTAAAAGATCAAAATCATGAAATTTGCAGGGAAAAGGATGGCATTAGAGCAGATTATGCTAGTGAAGCTAGCCAATCCCTAAAAAACAAATGCCAAATGTCTTCTTTGATATAAGGAGAACAACTAAGAACAGAGCAGGGAGGAAGAGCATGAGAAGGAACATTAAACAGGGACGAGAGGTGGGAGGGAAAGTGAGAGAGAAGGGAAATTGCATGGAAATGGAAGGAGACCCTCATTGTTATACAAAATTACATATAAGAGGAAGTGAGGGGAAAGGGGAAAAAAAAAACAAGGGGGAGAAATGAATTACAGTAAATGGGGTAGAGAGAGAAGATGGGAGTTGAGGGGGGATAGTAGAGGATAGGAAAGGCAACAGAATACATCAGACACTAGTATGACAATATGTAAAACAGTGGATGTGTAACCGATGTGATGTCTGTATACCGGGTAAAAATGGGAGTTCATAAACCAACTTGAATCAAATGTATGAAATATGATATGTCAAGAGCTTTGTAATGTTTTGAACAACCAATAATTTAAAAAAGAGTAAAAGATCAAATGGAAATGTCACTTAGTGGATCTCTAGGAATATTCACAGAGAAGCAATTTGCAGGGAAAGAGAATCTGGTTTGGTATGTGACGTATTTAAACTGAGAAGTTGGAGGATTTCTAAGAGTGGTATGTGGCAAAAAATAATAAAATATTTTGTAGCATTCCTGATGCCATTAGTATACCATTTTCTACTACTAAGAA